AATGATAACGGCGCCTATGACACTTGACTACAGTGTTCCATAAAATTGTGTCTGAGGTATTTTTTTTCTTTACGCTTCTACGTTGCCATCGATTTTCGCATCGCCATACCTAAGTTATCGCAGTAATCAGGTAAGAAAGCGCTCACTGGATTCTAGCAAAAATTCGACGTCAATCTTAAGTTAGCACTGTAACTTATAGAGTTTATCAACCATTTGTTTGACCCAATATGTCCTAAACCTTAGCCTTGGCACTTGTGATGTACTTTTAACCTTTCTTGACGAAGCGCAAGGACAAATAGAAGCTGTTTAATAACAATTTATGTTTGAAAAATGTTGCCATATCTCTGTATGATCACTAAAGCCATCATGACTAGCTCATTTTTTAAACACTTTGAAGTAGCAGAGGAGAGATCTACTTTGGAAAGCGATAAAAAGTTTTAAGAAGTCTTCCTGCCATTAGATATCTCGTATCCTCCTTAACTGTTATGATGTAAGATTTCAGTGGCTTATAAATTTGATTAGAATAGATTTTAGAATACAACTTATCACTGATCTCTTCGCTGAAATTCCAGGGGTCATTGGTTCAATTCAACTTCTCAGTTGGCTGTTTAATCATTTTTTCTCCTCTGTTCGCAACCATGTTGATTTTAAGCATTGATCTCGTAGTACTAAATGACCTCATGCGACTGTTCACAATCATTACAAACTTCTCGTGTGATTTATTATTTATATTCAGGTTCCCCAGGTCCCACGCAAACCAGTACGACTCGGCCACGTCAGACCGCTAAAGGGAAAACTATCGGGCCATTGGAGGTAGTAGGATTCTGTATCCTTGCAGTACTTGTTGCCGTTGTTGCTATTTTTGCCATTTATTACGTAGCCTGTCGAAAGCGGGAGGAAGACGAAGGCTCGAACGAGCCGATGGTTGAAGTACCTGCACGTAATTCAGCTAAACCAAAAGAAACGGAAATTGGAATAACTCACGACGCATTTGTGGGAGACTCAAATAGTCCAACGGAAGCTTCTGTTTTTAAACCGGAAGCCATGGCTCCAGTACCGGAAGTTAAAGTTCAAGAACCAGCAGCAAATGCTTCGGAGGTAAAACCAGATAATATGGAAAGTAAAGAAACTGAGGCCGACGTCGATGGCACTCATGACAGTGCGTTGTAAGAACAAGAAGAAATATTTTGAAATTATTTTGAAACCAACTAGAAAATTCCCTCGACTGGTATCAAAATGTCTCTTTCATCACGAGTTTGCTACAAGGCTACCGCTCTACATGATGCATAACTTTTTCTGAACATTCCTAGACTTATAAAAGTTTACAACACTAAACCTTTTAACGCTTAAACACCAGGAAGTGATCAATTTGTACCTTCTTCTTACAATATCTATACATTATTCAACCGACGCGTAATGAAAAGAGACAAACGAACCAGCTAAAGGGTGTTTTCTTGATAAAATACCATATTCTCTGAACTAGTTCCTTTGGGAAATGTAAGGCAGCTAGAAACGAGAAATACAAATCAAATTTTGGGACGGTAGCCTGCATTACCTGTTGTATTATCCATTATATTACTCAGAGTTGTCCTTAGTTCATATAAGGCTGCCACTTTTGGACCCCTGGATGTATTGTTTCAGCATAACTATTGGCATAAATTGAATAAACGATCATAATTTTTGCTCTTATGATAACCTGTAATTGGGAATTCTCCTTTTTTCGGGCAGTGCGAAAGCATAGTGTGTTGCGCTGCTAAACTTTTATTCTCTTTCGAAAAAGAGAGCGGTTAATCACACATATTTAGTCCTTTCAAATGAACCATTATCAGGTTTTAACCTTTAACTCCCATGAGTGACCACTTCATAATTTCTCCTTACAATATCAATACGATATCAAGCAGAAAAGTGACGAGAATAGAGAAATAAATCAATTTAGGGATTATTGTTTGATCCAATACTAAATTCTCCAAACTAACATCATGAGAATTGTATAACAGACAGTAAGGAGAATTTTAAATGGCATCTTGAGAGTGGAAGGGTTAAAATAGCTGTACCTTGTTTGATCTTTAAAAGATCGATCGAGTTCATGTGTAGATGTATACTTTGTTTTTTATATATTTTAGCCGTGTAACAATTTTACCTTTTAACCTTTTGTATTTTTACTCATGTACTCTAATAACGGGACCCCCTTTGATACCAGCGCTTATCACACTGACGGGGTTATCCTTTATAATATTATCATTATCATCATTATTTTCGTTCGCCTTGTGGAGGGAGAGGGTTTTCACATTACTGCCTCTTACGTTGCCAAGAGGAAAGGTGCCGACAGACTTATATTAGTTCACAATAACCCCTAGCTGACGCCCTAACATCAGTATGCATATTCCCCATACATTTCCTTAGGTGCTGACAAGGAGAATTTGTTTAAAGATCAAGAGTTTCTTTAGTTGGTGATCATTTCCTTTATTCTCGTGATCTTGGTATATGAATCAGGGGTGATGTTGTGAGGAGAAGTTAGATGTTAGTCACTCTTACTGGCGGTACGAAGGGTTCATTGTTATACTATTTACATCCTCACGTTTTTTTGCCCATTAAGTCACGTCTTCTATTCTGGTGTGAAGTCCAGTAGTTAAAAATATTTTGTAAGAGCAAATGTGTAAATTGTTAGCAATAGATATATGATTTTGGAGTTGTTTTCTGTGTATTTTTTATCAGCATCCTAAACAAAAATAGTTCCAGCATAGTTGTAAGCATATGACTGTGCAAAATTGGGCAATGGTAGCAGCGTAATATGCAATTTTTCTAAGCCTGCTTTCGTTAGAGGCTCATTCCATCGAATACAACCTCATAAAATGCCAAATAGGTTGCGCAGACTTCTAATTTATTTAGTATTATTTTTTCTCTTCTATAAACATCTGCGCTTGGAAGGTCGGCGATTGTTAATTGTGTCTACATATGAAATAGCTGATTCAGGACTCGGTCTGTCTCGTCCCAACCTTTTCTCGTACAGAAAGATGTAGCTTCCTGTCAAAAGAAAAACAAACTGGGTCATGTAGATCATGGCTAACAACATGCAGACGGCCGAATTACCGGATTCGCCAATGTATGATGTAAAATGAACTATGAACATTGTTTGACGTCTCTGTTCGTCTCTTTCCTACTGGGAAATCTCAGTTTTGTTGCGAAAGGTAAGAAAAGCTAGTTCAAGTCAGGAAGGTCAAAATTTACCACCCACTATGCCCCCGTACCCAGACAAAATGTTTAATGTTCCGATAATTAAGATGAGCTCATGGTAAGTTTCATTGGGCATGATCGACCTCAGAACATGCTGTTGCTGTTGCCGTTGTTGTATATTTGTTCTTCTTTCTTTAAGATGAAGGAAGATTTGTCGCGAAGTGACATGTAAACAAACAGAGCAATAAGATTAATAATGAGGTTAACCACTAGCCGTAATATGGCAAAAATGTGAAGCCGCTAGAAGTGAATATTGATTAGTCGTAACAAAAAGTAACCGTCTAAACTTTTTCTGGTAGACTTAGAGGAAAGAAATTAAACCTCAGCCGTAATATATACAACATTTTAACTACTAGGCTGGAAAAGCTATCACCCTACTGAGGCCCTCTAATAAGGCAACATAAGAACAACCTTGGCGGGTAACAGTTACTCTCTGGCCGGCTGGTTCAGTTGGAGTCTTGTTCAGTAACATGGTATGGGCATTTTTGTTCGTTGTCCCAACACTGAGCAGTTAAGTTTTGATAAAGATGGCCTGTTGGCGTCAATATCAACACCGCAATTTACAGTGAACGGCTATAATTATCGCACTCCACTCATCAGTTATCATCGAAAATCAAACTGTGACCTCGCTTGCTGATATATACTATCTGCGATCCTCATTGGTTCTCGCTATGAGAGTTTATCTTTTACAACTATGGTCGTTAGCTTTCACTGGGATCGTTAGAATTTCATAGAAATAAGTTATTCTAACCCACTAACGCGTAACAGAGGTTGGCATACCACTTACGATTACTTACAGTTTTTTATCATCATTAAGAGGATTTCAGCCAACACCGGAAACTTACCGTAGCTGTTTCTAATAACTTAAATATTAGTAATGTTTGCTGATATTTTGGTGGAAATTTATTGACAAGCTCTAGAGATATTAAGGGAGATGTGACCCACAATCTGGTATCCAAAACTCAACAGACAAATCGAGATGTTGGCACTCATCCAATGATTTGAGATATAGTATGAGGCAAACGTATTTTTATCTAATCAGCTGCAAATGAGGTTTAGAAGTCCATAGTAGTTTAGCAGAGCAGAAACACAGTAAATGGTTTGAATCCAGGGGTAGATAATGAAGTCTGATCGTCCGGGTGAGTGTAGTCCAGAGAAGGAATGTTGTCACCAGTGGTGACTGACGTTTCGACAACTTGAGTGGAAGGCAAAGGCAAGACAACTTGCTTGGCCCTGATGATATGCCTTCCGCTAAGGTTGTCGAA